TCGCCCAGCACGTGCACAGACGGGTGATTGGACAAGCTCTCTATTCAGCAGCGAGCCTCGCGACAAAGCATCAAGAGATCAGGCGTGACCGCCCCAACAGTCGGGCCGATCATCTATTCAGGGTTTATCTGGACAACTTCGACGAGCTGCGCAAGGTGGACCGTCGAGTGGCCGAGCTTGTGGAAGGACAACCATCAGACTGGACTCTAGCAATCAGGGAGACTTATACATGCCTGGGGCTCCCGCGCCATCCTAAGAAGGCAGTGGAGCAGTCGTTGCACGCGGAGGTCCAAGGAGCCTGGGTGGATGGGAGCAGGGGAACAGCTACTCCCAAGTTCAGCAAGGTTGCCAGGTACTTGAGCCTGGCAATGGAGGCAGTCGTGCAAGGAAAAGCTTCGCAGCGAGAGCTACAGATTATTGGGGGGGGTTCGTCTACATTGCAATGTTCAGACGCCCTCTTCTCTCAGGGTTGAATGCCATTTGGAAAAAGATTACTAGTCTGAAAGGCATTTCACCTCATCAGCGTTCTGCGTTGAGTCGAGAAGTCGAAGTGGAGCTGATCAGGTTCATCGCAATGAGTCCCTTGGCATTCATGAACTTCAGACTACCTGTCTCGGAGCACGTCACAGCTAGTGATGCGTCGACCACGGGAGGTGGGCTCTGCATATCCCGTGGACTTAGTCCGTACGGGTTGGCAGCCTCCCAGGCTGAGGCGCGAGGGGACGTGCTATGTCCGGACGAGATCGACCAGATTTTCGTGATCTCGTTGTTTGATGGGATTGGTGCCTTGCGTGTTGCTCTGGATTGTCTGAGAGTACCGGTAGCTGGGTTTGTGTCGGTGGAGCTCGATGACTACGCCTCTCGTGTTGTGGAGTCGTACTTCCCGGATGTGATTCGGGTGACTGACGTTGGCTTGGTTGACCTTGAGATGATGAGGAGCTGGGGGCTGCGTTTCCCGTCGGTGTCGCTTGTCCTGTTGGGTGCGGGACCCCCATGCCAAGGAGTCTCGGGTTTGAACGTGGACCGGAAGGGGGCTATGAAGGATGCGAGGTCTTCCCTTTTCCAGCACATCCCGAGGATCGAACAAATGGCGCGGCAGGTTTTCAAGTGGTGCCCTTTGCACCGTTTGATTGAGAACGTCGCTTCCATGGATAAGGCTGATTGCTTGGCAATGAATCAGGCGTATGGGATGGAACCTTGGGTGGTGGATGCTCATGGCATTTCCTTGGCCCGACGACCGCGCCTTTATTGGATGGACTGGGAGATGGGGCCGCAGGAAGGAGTTGCCGTTGCTCAGGGGAGGATCAGAGGCCTCCCAGTGCAAGGAAATATCCAACTTCACGGTCAAGTAGATGATGCTGACTATTTAGAGCCAGGCTGGAAGCGTGTCAACCCTAGTGGGAGTTTCCCTACGTTCACTACGGCTAGGCCCTCGGACACACCAGGCAGGAAACCCGCAGGGTTGGCGCTCTGTCCTCAGGAAGCGTTGCACAGGTGGAGGAGCGATTCTCACAGGTTTCCACCTTACCAATATCGAGACGAAAATTGTGTGGTAAACTCCCAGGGTATAATGCGTGTGCCATCCATATCAGAACGCGAGGTGATCCTGGGATTTCCCCTGGGGTACACCCGCCGGTGCATGACAAAAGCAGCCGAAGGGAGTACGAGCCATAGTGACTGTCGGCTGAAGCTGCTTGGCAATAGTTGGTCGGTGCCGGTTGTTTGCGTGTTGTTGAGCTCGTTGTTCCGGTTGCTTGGTTGGTTGCCGTCCCTATCAGTTCAGGAGATTCTTGATCGGTTGACGCCAGGATGTGCCTCGGACCTTGCCGGCTTGCTGTTGCGGCCACCTCTACGTCACAGTAGTCACTTGACACAGCAGGGGTCAGGGCTTGTGCGGAAACTGCTTGGCCAGGTGTCTGTCAAAGGGGAAGACATTCTCCTCCAAATGGGCAGTGATATCCCTGCTAGGTATCATCGCCTGCGAGCGTCGCTTCCGAGTAAGCTTTGGAGGTGGAGAGATGTCATCGGGTGGCGCTGGAAAGGAGACGTGGAACACATCAATGCCCTGGAGCTTCGGGCGGTCAAGACAAGTCTGGTTTGGAGGATTAGGGAGCTACGTGAAGGCCCTGTCCGTTTCGTTCACTTAGTCGATTCTCTGGTTGTGCTACATGCTTTGTCGAGGGGCAGATCCTCAAGCCGGAAACTCAGGAGGACCTTGGCAAAGATAAGTGCACTGTTGTTGGCAAGCGGCTCTGTTGGTGCTTGGTCCTATGTGGACACGCACCAAAACCCAGCAGATCGGCCGTCCCGGCGGCCTGTCCAGCGGAAATGGGTAAGAAAGGTGCAAAAGTGATTGAGGGCCGTAGTCAACAACAGCGCATAAAAGTGAGGAAACAACTGGGGACTTTGAAGGGGTTGACTGTTCAACCTCGGACTCGTGAACGGTATCAGACATGTCTTGACAAATTCGTTGATTGGTTGGCAGGGGAGGGGCTTGTCCTCCCAAAGCGTGCTCAGGCCTTGGATAGTGTGGTCTCTGACTACTTGGAGTTCTTGTGGGCTGCTGGTGAGAGCAAGTCGGTCGCCAATAACACTTTGGCAGCTCTCCAAGATAAAGAACCTGGTTTGAAGCGACGTCTCACAGGTAGCTGGCGGTTGTTGAAAGCATGGTCAACCGCCGAAATTCCAAACCGCGCGACAGTGCTGGATGCACTCTGCGGCTGGTTTCTCATGAAGGAGCAGCCACTCATAGCCTTGTCGTTGCGCGTGGCCTTCTTTGGGTTGCTTCGCACGGGAGAGCTGCTCAACTTGCGAGCGCGGGATGTCTTTCTTCCTTCTCCCAAGGGCCCCGCTGTGCTTTCACTCGGGCTTACAAAAGCGGGAGCACGCCAAGGGGCTGCGGAAAGTGTGACATTGCATGAGGACTCTGTACTTCCCAGTCTCTTTCGTTGGAAACAGTCTGCACGACCCTCTGAATTTTTAACTCCGAAACCGCACCAGTGGCGTAGCTGGTTTTCCAAAGCCATAGACGGCCTACGACTGACCCAACTGGAATTTCGCCCTTACAGCCTCAGGCGAGATGGGGCCACATTCTTTTTTAACCACCACGGATCTTTCGATCGCTTGCCGGTCCAGGGACGTTGGGCAGCCGCGAAAACGGCCCGTATTTACTTGAACGATGGGCTAGCTCAGCTGTCCGAAATGACACTCCCTAATTCGTCCTTGCATGGTTACATCCGTTTGTTCCGCTCGTGCCCAATACTTGAGCCTGGGAAGCCGTGTACGCTTCCCAGAGCTGGGGGGCGTGGAAAGAAGCGTAAAATCGGAAAATGAGAGTTGGTGTCTCGCTCAGTTTTTCTCTAGGATACCC